ATATATATGTAGAAAATTACTATCGGCTTGTTTGGGAGCACGGTATTATTGAATGGAGGTTGGGGTACAAGTGCAACTCGTCGCGCGTTGCGAAGAGGAAGAACGATGATACTTATGTAATTAATGTCGTTTCTAATAAATACAGTATATGTTATATAAGTTTATATAAATGTACGTTGGTATAATTATCATTATTAGCATCGTTATCATTATTCTACTTTACGATTAGATTACAGAGACCAGCAGACTCGATCGCCCCCCCTACTCATGTATACTGGCGATTATGTCGTTGTTATCTTATCTTTTGATGTCGCCGAGTGAATGATTCTGCAAGCAAGTCTAACTTAATTAATTCGAGGGAGAACGGCGTATATACTTGTGTATGTATGCTTTGAATCGCGTAAAATAATAATGATGGTAATTATAGGTAATAATTACATGCGCATACTATGCGTTGATCACTATTCATAGGACAAGAGATTCACAAGTTACGTTGTAACTGATGTCTATGTTGGTACACTGTCGTTCCGCTTGACATCTTAAAGAGCTTTAAGAAGAATTGGCTACTGTGCCAACTTCAGCTGAAGTTCGCGTATCACGTTATAACGCCCCCGCAGGGACCTCACTTGGAACCATTTTTCTTTGTCTATTTCGACCTTCTCACTGATCAGATATCTGCTCACATGCCGCAGAGACACCGCAATCCGTACCTGGTTCGATTGCCATCATAGAAAAATCGAAGTTGCTCCCCCCAGACTACCAAAAAGATAAAGGCAGTTGTTATTGAAAATCTGTCCCTTCTCCCCTCCTTCGGCCTAATATCCCCTAGCTAGATAGCTAGCTACTTTCTCAACGTTCTGACTACTCTAACCTTTCGTTCAACAGCAATTCATTAAATGATAATATAATACATTGTCCCCGCGTAGTGCAGTACGCAAATGGTATCAAGTAGGTGCTTTAATTAGCACCAGCTTGGTAACAGCGGCGGCGCAGCACCACCGAAAGTTTCGCACTTTCTGCCCGGGCCAGCGGAAGACTATTTTGTCGACACGTTGTTGGCCTGACCAAATTGCAACCCATTTCATTGCCGTTGCGCCAGGGCACAGAGCGTCGTAAGCTCGCTCATGGACCTGATCGACGAGATGCTGCTGGCGAACGCATGGAGATTCTAGTCGCATGGAGATCTGGGCGCGCGACCACTGTAGTAGTTAGGGATAACGATACACAACTGGTGGATAGACGTAGATTGTTTGCTCAAATAGTTCGCCTCCAAATATGACATTACGGGGAAACCGTGGAAAGCTTTTTACAATGCTCTCTTCAGATCATGTGGCCATCGAATAGTTCATCCAGGGTATAACAATGCGTGCAATTAATTGAAAAGATTAACTCCCACGCCCAAATCAACTCAGTATAACCTATAGTGTTATCCGCTAACACACCACTTGGCCGCCGCCCAAGAACCCTGTTCCAAGGTAGCCCAGGACCCGCTGGTCCAATACTAACTGCGATCAGCAGAACCATCATCGTCCACTTTGTGACCAGGGCTATGCTATAGAGTAGTAACACATAGATAATAATCCTAACGTTCCATTTTGTTTCACTTCCATCGAAGTTTGTCGAGAAATACGTTCCTCATGACCTATTCATTCGTGCGCACTCGAATCAAACCCATTTTTTTCTCGCTTTTCGTATCCTTTTTGTCTTTCATAGATTTGTTTGCTTTGTATCTCTCTTTTTGTTTGATGAGATGTGAGACCGTGTCCAACTCTGCCCCACTGTGTTACCCATACTGATTAACTGTTCCAAGCACATACATTTCTTTTATCTTATTGTGATCATGGTACGCGTTATAGTAGCTGACGTCGTCATAATCATCACCGTTATGTGAACAAAACAAGCGGATGTCTGCTTCTTAAGTCTCGTCTCTTCCTCGGCCTCGAGTCCAGTGTAAATCGTCGGTGTCTATTCGCTCGTGATTAAATCTTTTTGTTTGCTTATTTGTTTATAACTACAGAAACGCACCAGCACCCTACAACACACGGTGACGTTTAAGGGCGCCTACACGCGAAACTACCTAGGCTCTGAATGCTGTGCCCTGCTTTGGCCGTCAGCCGCTATTCTATAGGATTTCCCTGGGTACTCTAAAGTCGAGAACCCTGCACATTTCGGCTGAACGGCGGAGCACGACGCAGCAGAGCACGGGACTCATAGCATTTTCCGTCGCTGTCGTTCTTGTTAACAACGGGTCGCAATCGCGTCGAAATCGTCCGACATTTTCTGCATCTTCTGTACCATTCGAATCATCGTCATCACCATCATTATCTCCGCTCTACCTGCTTTGTAGAATTCTTTTCTGTTTTGTTCTCCTCGGCCGTCCATGCGTGGACCCGAAAAAGCCTTCGTTCTTCGTGTAACACTTGCCGTCAAGGTGGCGACAGGGGGCCGCCTTGCATTGGCCACCTAGTAAACTATTCTATACATGAATGTGTTCGCTTTTCTTTTCGTTTTCCCTCTCTCTTTCTCTCGGACCGACTCAGCAAGCAATTGACGGTAATTGTTTAGTAGTCTATCACAGTGACTGGAGAGCGATGTCCTATCTAAGGACGGGAGCCTTTGGGACCTGGGTCTCTCCGGCCGAAATAACGATTGGTGGGATGCCGTTTAGTCCGTTCGCGGTACTTTTGTAGCGAACGGGCGCATCATCTGTTTGAGTTCGGTGTAGGGAAACTCCCAGGGAGACACCAGCGGGTCCCAGCGAACTGGCCGTCGAAGCGGACACAACCGTTGCACTCGTTACGGCAGCCGACGTTGAGTTGCTACTCGTTTGCGGCGTTCTTGGCAATTTCCGCCTGAGCCACGCGTGCCTCAATGCCGCGCTGGGCGTCATTCGGACCGCGGGGTCCCATTCGAGACACCGCTTGATAAAATCGATGAACAACGCATCGTCGCTGCCTTTTAGAGCGGTGGTCATCTTCAAGCTGCCCGGGGGCCCACGAAGCTTGCCCCGTCGCGAACGGCCTCCTCCAAGTAGATAGTCACCATTCGGCAGTGGCGTCACGGTACAGTACCGGGGGTAACCCTTCTGTGAGAAAAAGTTCTTCGCTCGCTTTGACTGGTCCAACAACTTCTGAGGTGGCTTGCCCAGCAGCTCCATGGTGCACGCCAGCTGGTCGCCCTCATCTTCACCAGGTAAAAGCGGGTAGCCCGTGTGCAGTTCGGCGAGAATACAGCCCAGCGACCACATATCGATGGGCATTCCGTACTTGGCGCCAAGAATTACCTCGGGCGCACGGTAAAACCTAGACTGAATATACGTATAAACACGCTGATGTTCGTAACACGACGAGCCAAAATCGATCACCTTGATACCCGAGCGGCCCTGTTGTTTCAACAGGATATTCTCAGGTTTGAGGTCGCAGTGAATAATCTTGTTACGGTAGACAGCATCGAGACACTGCAGAAGAGAATGAGCGAACTTGCGGACTAGCTGTAATGAAAACCCGCCAAATTTGTTTTTCTTAATTAGCTCGTACAGATTGATCGATAGCAGCTCAAACGTGATACACATATGGTTGCGGAACGTGAAATGCTCAAACATGTGAATGATGTTCATTGAATTATCCTTGTCCTGTTTTCGTAGATGGTCGAGAATCTTGATTTCTTCCTGCGCCTGCCTATGGAAACGCTTTTCATTTCGAACCATCTTGAGAGCGACGTGCGTATGTGTCTTGTGGTCGAACGCCTTCACCACTTGGCCAAAGCTGCCCTTGCCAATCACTTTGAGCATTTCGTAACGATACGCAATATGGTCGTGTGGGACATGCACATACGAGCCCTGCTCATCATCGTAACCACAATTTTGCCCCATGTTCGTTGTAGGCTGACGCTTCTTAGCATTGGCGCCAATAAAATAGATTTGCGAATAGTTGAATATCTCAATGTGTTCGTAGACCGTCAACTTGTGCATGTACATTTTCATCACCTGCTCGGGGGTGGCGACAAGCACCCGGGGAGAGCTCTGGCTCTTGTTATCAGCCAAGGCGTCATCCTGCCCCGATTTGATCATCGGCAATCGTGCCTTGTCTACGACCTCTTCGTGGCCCATTTTTGTTGCTTGTATCAACTTTGGTTCCTGGAGGCTGAGGCTGCTTGGAAAGTCCGAGGGATCCTTTCGAGGACGCGGACTCGGATCGGGTAAAATCAGCTGAAGCCGTGTATTGCTCATGGGATTACGAAGCGGTAACACCCCGTCACCACCACCAAAGGCCAATTCTAGCTCCAACAGCTTCGGGCACTAAAGGCTTCTGGCTTAAACTGGCACATCCGACTAAGCTGCACTGAGACGCACGATTTATCACACAATAAATCACACAATATATTTACTGATATATAGATATATATTCATATATCTATACTGTCGATTGGTCACTGTCGGTCGGCACCAGCACTACCACACAAATTTGTATAATAACGTATCAATATGCTGTAGCAGAGTATATCCTACGGCAGTTGAAACAGACGGTAAAATCACCACCTATAATAATCCAGTTGAATGTAAGAATATCCTATGTATTTCTTGTTGTAATGGCAGCAATATTAGTAATAGTTCCGTTGATTTGGTAACTAGTTTCGTTCTCGTTCACGTCACGCTCAATTACAAACACACAGCCTACCTGAGAGTCGCTAGAAGACTAGCGGCTACACGCTCCCCGTCTCTACTTTTGCTCGGCCGTTCGCCCCCAGCTAACGGCGCTGCCGGAGAGGGTCGCGCCGACCCGTAGCTACAAGGACTCCCTAGGCGAGAGACGCAAAGCAGCCGAAATTATCCCTAGGCTTTTAAATTACATGGCTAAAAACGCTGAAGATCAGCACTAATTTTATATAGAAAGTCCGTCGTAGTTTATACTTGATGTTACTTAGTGAAAATTAATCAAAAGTATGCATTATCACAAGCAGAGCTGTGAACTCGAAGAAAATACCACTACCGTATATCCCTAAAGGGAGCGGTCATCCCTAGAGCGAAGATGCTAGTTCTCCTTGAAGAGCGAGAGACGAGCCAATAAGCGCTGTGCATTTTCGTGACGTCACATGCAGGCAAGGGGGTAAAAATCGATACGAATGATAGAGCCCGCAGCTCTTGGCAGCTGGTTGGCTGGCAGATCGCGTTCGAAGTAAACGAAGACATTGACTGACGAAGCAGCAGCAGCAGTAGCGGCAGCGGCGGTTGGCAGACGTGCCCAAACTGCCGTTCTTGCTAGGACTGACGATGACAGGGAGGGGAAACGCCGCACGGGCTGATGCTCAGCCAACCGGCGGGCTCAGGTCGTACAGACCCACATCACATCTTGTGATGCCTTGCCTAACTCTTTTTGTGCACTTCTGAGCCTGCAGCAGGTACAGAGATATGAAAGGGAGTGGTAGCAATTCGCACGGGCTAGAACCAGCTGTTTAGGAGTTCAATAGACGCTGGGCCATTGAGAGCAGTTAGCGAAGCGGGGGCAGTTGAGTCAATGGTAACACAACGAGGCTTCTGCAGCGGATTCGGCACTGGGCCGGCCGTCATTGGACTCTCTGAACGCGATGCATTAGCAGTAGCCAACGAGTCAGGGCGTGGAGTAACAGTTTGTGCTCTCGATGTACCCATATCTATTCTTCTTAGAATCCGTACTGATGTAGCGACAGCAATAGCAGCAGCAGCGCCACACTCTTTACAACGACCCTGACAGAGTGGGTCGACATGATACACGGTCGAACAGAACGCTAAAGCGGGCATTGGGCGAGTTTTGTGAAACGAAAACTTTTTGCGCCCGGGCGACTTATTGTCTATTCAGAGGAGCTGGAGAACAAAAAAGTGCCTCTTGTATCCCGCTATAGGTCACTATATTCTCTCATCTAATAAAACACGATGTTACGGTATAAGAATAACTCGACTAAGGCTTGAAGCTGGTCATCTAAGAAAAACCAAATAAAATTAGAAATACAATTCTTTTAATTCAATAGACCTAGTACATGTATCTAAAGAAAAACCTATGCTTTGTTAGGTCAATACTTCCTATTCAGACACTGAACATTTACACAAGCTTACTTCATTGACGTTCTGAACGGTTACAAAGGTCCAGATGCCATTAGATATATAATGTACCAGATATACGTCGATCATTGACTTAATACATGAAATCTATCGAACGTTTATTCAATGCAGGACAGCACAACTGGGCGTGATGGCGTGGTGGGTAACGTGTTCGTGTAACTGGAGGACGCGTGGCAGTCTGGATTCAACACACTCTTTTTCGTTTAGTGAAACTCTTAGTACTTTAAGCTTTTATCTCTAATTTAATCTGTGAAATAAACGAGTTGCGTAACCATAGAGAATATCCATTCCCATAAGTAAGCTGCTATTCCTTTATTTGGGCGTATTTTTCAATAGAAAAAACTGCCTGGTATTATCATTGCAAAAAAAAGAAGACATTATCTACACGTATGCTCTACTGCAAGTTCGTTATAGGGAAGTTGATGGATTTATTTACAGCATTGATTTAAACGTACTTGTTGAAAGCTATCTAACATCAGCCTTAATAGTCACTAAGGAGAGCAACAACGATAATGCGTGAGAATCTTCAACCCGTCGTATTCGCCATTGAATCTGCGTTTGGTCGAACGATGAACTTGCGTCTAGCTAGTACGACGCCTTTGTTATAATTGCAATGTGTGAATACATCTGTTGTACAATGTACATAGGTACAATGCGTACAGGCATAATCTATCTAGGGCCAACGATAGCATTAACAGTTTCTCTATTACGTTGGTTAGCCAGTTCACTGCGACAAGAACACTTCGCTTGTTGTTGTAAACAGGAGCAACTTCTGCTTTTTATGTCCCAGAAAAAATAGATCGGATCAACAAAGCTTAATGGCAGGCATTCGTTACGACACGGTTATTGGACTAACAACTAGATCATTGTCACTCTCGTAATGTGATCGGGCCGGTTGGTGGGGCAATAGCAGCTGGGTGAATTGCGCTAAAAGTGACTGAAGTCACAGCGCGAGTGTTGTTAGAAATCATGTAAAATGACGCTGAGACATATTGGAGTCTTTCTGACCACCCTTTTCAGTAAGGTGAACTTAGCAATTATACCTCACTTGTGCTGTTTCATATTTCTTCCGCACCTTCTTGATTGTTTTACTACTTTGAAATCACAGATTTCATACATTTTTTGTGCACACTGCTTATTGTGCGGGCTTTTGCACAGCTACATGCTATTAATGCAATGCACCGACAAAAACAGTTGTGCCTGCTGCACTTAGTGCACTGCAAAACAACTGCTTATCCAAAACGTCGGTACAATCAAGAACTTGGCGCGCATAGAAAGCTGCTATATAACTGACAATTGTACAACCTAAAGTTCGGATAGAAGACTTCGTTGTACAATATTCGAAAGCAATATGCTGTATTTCAACTTGTTACACTACTCGGAGGGAGAGGGGTGGGGTCGAGTTATATACTGCCCCAAAGTAGGGGTTATAAGTGTAGACTGCACCGCTGTGTGCTTAGGGGGTCCATACAAAAATTTGCAACTATAGTTTACTGCCCGTGTCCCATTAACTTTTCTCACTTGATGGAATACAGACTTTTGACCTAATATATGCAATAAACACAGTTATATACAACAAAATTTTACAAGATGTACAACTTCAAATATGCATGGTGAAAAGCACGATGGCCTAGACTAGCTAACTACATTCGTATGTACATCAAAACAAACAAGTTTAGCGTTATGCCAACGACAAATAGTTGTACTGGTTTTCAGGTTAATTGGTAAACGATTGCCCTTTGTTATGACTATATTGAGCTATCATATGCACCACAAGACTTTGAGTCTTGTTTTCTGAAGTTTTCGGCCAATCTATTCACCGATTCCCAACACTTACGATACTTCAGTCCTTATTATTTTTCTATTGACCTATCTATCTCGATCTATCTATCTATCTATCTATCTATCTCGATCTATCTATCTATCTGTCTATCTATCTCGATCTATCTGTCTATCTATCTCGATCTATCTGTCTATCTATCTCGATCTATCTATCTATCCATCTCGATCTATCGATCTATCTATCTATCTATCTATCGATCTATCTATCTATCTATCTATCTATCTCGATCTATCGATCTATCTATCTATCTATCTATCGATCTATCTATCTATCTATCTATCTATCTATCTATCTATCTATCTATCTATCTATCTATCTATCTATCTATCTATCTATCTATCTATCTATCTATCTATCTATCTATCTATCTATCTATCTATCTATCTATCTATCTATCTATCTATCTATCTATCTATCTATCTATCTATCTATCTATCTATCTATCTATCTATCTATCTATCTATCTATCTATCTATCTATCTATCTATCTATCTATCTATCTATCTATCTATCTATCTATCTATTCTATCTATCTATCTATCTATCTATCTATCTATCTATCTATCTATCTATCTATCTATCTATCTATCTATCTATCTATCTATCTATCTATCTATCTATCTATCTATCTATCTATCTATCTATCTATCTATCTATCTATCTATCTATCTATCTATCTATCTATCTATCTATCTATCTATCTATCTATCTATCTATCTATCTATCTATCTATCTATCTATCTATCTATCTATCTATCTATCTATCTATCTATCTATCTATCTATCTATCTATCTATCTATCTATCTATCTATCTATCTATCTATCTATCTATCTATCTATCTATCTATCTATCTATCTATCTATCTATCTATCTATCTATCTATCTATCTATCTATCTATCTATCTATCTATCTATCTATCTATCTATCTATCTATCTATCTATCTATCTATCTATCTATCTATCTATCTATCTATCTATCTATCTATCTATCTATCTATCTATCTATCTATCTATCTATCTATCTATCTATCTATCTATCTATCTATCTATCTATCTATCTATCTATCTATCTATCTATCTTTAATGATCAGTCTATCTATCTATCTATTTTAATGATCAGTCTATCTATCTATCTATCTATTTTAATGATCAGTCTATCTATCTATCTATCTATCTATTTTAATGATCAGTCTATCTATCTATCTATCTATTTTAATGATCAGTCTATCTATCTATCTATCTATTTTAATGATCAGTCTATCTATCTATCTATCTATTTTAATGATCAGTCTATCTATCTATCTATCTATTTTAATGATCAGTCTATCTATCTATCTATCTATTATTAATGATCAGTCTATCTATCTATCTATTTTAATGATCAGTCTATCTATCTATCTATCTATTTTAATGATCAGTCTATCTATCTATCTATCTATTTTAATGATCAGTCTATCTATCTATCTATCTATTTTAATGATCAGTCTATCTATCTATCTATCTATTTTAATGATCAGTCTATCTATCTATCTATTTTAATGATCAGTCTATCTATCTATCTATCTATTTTAATGATCAGTCTATCTATCTATCTATTTTAATGATCAGTCTATCTATCTATCTATTTTAATGATCAGTCTATCTATCTATCTATTTTAATGATCAGTCTATCTATCTATCTATTTTAATGATCAGTCTATCTATCTATCTATTTTAATGATCAGTCTATCTATCTAT